GACTTACTGTATAACCCAGGAATCCCACTCCTGGGCTTGTATCCAGAAGGAACCCTACTTCAGGATGACACCTGCACCCCAGTGTTCATAGCAGCACTATTTACAATAGCCAAGACATGGAAACAGCCTAAATGTCCATCAACAAGTGACTGGATAAAGAAGAGGTGGTATATTTATACAATGGAATACTACTCAGCCATAAAAAACGACAACATAACGCCATTTGCAGCAACATGGATGCTCCTGGAGAATGTCATTCTAAGCGAAGTAAGCCAGAAAGAGAAAGAAAAATACCATATGAGATTGCTCATATGTGGAATCTAAAAAAACAAACAAACAAAAACAAACTGTAAATACAGGACAGAAATAGACTCATAGTCAGAGAATACAGACTTGTGGTTGCCAGGGGGTGGAGGGTGGGAAGGGATAGACTGGGATTTCAAAATTGTAGAATAGATAAACAAGATTATAGTGTATAGCACAGGGAAATATACACAAAACGTTATGGTAGCTCACAGAGAAAAAAATGTGACAATGAATGTGTATATGTCCATGTATGACTGAAAAATTATGCTGAACACTGGAATTTGACACAACATTGTAAAATGATAATGAATAAAAAATGTTAAAAAAAAATAAAAGAGGATGAGGCAGGAGATCTCTGTCTCCACCATGTGAGGATACATCAAGAAGGAAACCAGCCAGGAAGAGCATTCTCACCAGAACTCAACCGTGCTGGCACCCTGACCTAGGACTTCCCGAGCTCCTGGACTCTGAGAAACAAAAGTTTGCTATTTAAGCCACCCAGTCTAGGGCATTTTGTTACAGCAATCCACAGCCAACTAAAACATGTTTAATAACTGGTCCTGGTGGGATTTTAAACATTGCAAAACAAAATTAAAACACGATTTGTAAGATTGGATAATATTGGCCTTGTTTAACTCATATATTTCATGCAAAGGAAAATTTGTGGCTTCACATAAAACTATTTCAGTTCTTTCCGCATTTGAAGAATTAACTTAAAAAAGAATTAACTAGGATGCAACAATGCCTTAGAAAAACCAGTATGTATATAATGCAGAGTTGTCTACCGGGGATAATCCAAAACTCACTGTCTGCCTTCAGAACATCAGAAAGGAATTTACACACAACTACAAACTAGAGGAATAATTTCACACCCTTGTCCTTTGAGCCCAGGTGGAAACAGGATTTTAACCTAATGAGTTCCCAGAATCTTAAATGCGTTGTGTCCAGTTCAGGTGGGTTTGTGGGTAACCTGTTCTCCACTGGGGAGTTTCCACTGTCAAGTTGGTCCACCAAAGCACCCAAAATTTGCCTTTCTGAACAGACGGCAGGAAATGTTTAGACTGAGCCCCAGCTCTTCCTCGGTGGCCCGCCGGAGCCCCCAGGCCCAGCATGGATGTCCAGAAGCACCTGGTGCCCACCCCGCGCCCAGGCACGGCCGCCCTTCCTGAGAGCAAGGCTTCTCTCCTGGACAGACTTTGCTGTGACTCCCTCCCCAACCACCACCCGAACCCACTATCCATGTAATAGTGTCTGGATTTGTAAACTTAACATATGTGCTTATCCGTGTCATTCAGAAACTGCATCTCGGAAAAGCCCCAGATTACTGAAGAGGCAAAAGCTTCCTGCGCTGAGTTAGGGGGAGCATCCACACGAGGCGGGGCCCTTAGGGCAGTATCCACGTGAGCTTCACCCTGTGTTCCTGTGGTTTTACTTTGTAACTTCATGTTTGCATTAGAAACCGTGTTGACAACTATGAAAAAGAAACAGTTTGAGTTTTAACAAGAAAACTGTGAACTGGCAATACTGGCTATACTTTGTCCTCTAACACTATTTCTGAATTTTGAAATTGCCTTTTCAAGATTTCCTCAGAAGGATAACAGGCTCCCTCTAGCGGGAAGTGAACGTTATAACGGAATTATTTACTCCCAAACTGAAACTTCATAGTTGCACTTTGAAAGGAAAGGGACTTCTGCCTCTTACAGGGTGGTTTCCCTAACACTTATTTATTTTTTCTCTTTCAATTTTAGAAAAGAAATTAATACTGATTATTAACAAGTGTCTATAGGACTGTCATGGTTGACAGTCATGTTAACAATGTGAACTTCTCTTATGTAAGCAGGGAAGTGAGGTTACCAGTAGAAGCCTAGACATGAACGAAGCCAACTTGTTAGGAAAAATAAATATTTATAGATTTATGTAATTTATAAATATATAAACTCTAATAATATAACTTAACTCCAAAGCCTTAATTTTGATAATTAGGTAATTTAAAGGATTGTCTCATCTCTTGCCGTCAGTTTTACACTATTTAGTGCCTTGCTCAAGATTTACACATTTGGAAGCCTGCTTTTTGACCTTTGAGTTCTGATTAATTTTACAGCAAGTAAGCCTTGCTCACTTTGGCCTTTCTTACCTTATAAGAGAAAGATGACCCAAATCCCATGCTTTTTTTTTTTAAGTAATTAGCTTTCTGCCTCATATCATTTATACTT